GAGGGGGCCGTGGGCGCCGGGGCCGGGGCCGGGGCGGGCGGTGGTCGCAGTTTGACGGCGGCTGCTGGGTAGCGCTGGGAGCCCGCGGGCGGCTCTGAGGGAAGGAGCTCTCCCGTCCCCGCGGCGCTGGCTTCGCCTCGCCTCGCCTCGCCTCGCGGCTCCTTGGACGGGAGCGCTGCTCAACGTCCTGAGCGCCCCACCAGCTGCAGAGCCCCAAGTGTTAAAAATTGGGGATAATAAATCATTTATATATATATTTAAGGACCCCACGATTGCTGAGATATGGCTGGTTTTACTTATGTGGACCGCTACGTGTGTACAGGAATAAAAAAATCATGACAGGTTATAGCGAAAAGATTCTTGGGTTTTGAGATAACCATTACTTTTTCATTGATGTTTCTTGGCATTAGAATGGTACTGCATTTTAGGAAATCAGCTGTCCATAGGCTGAGTTGTAACTAGGGTCACTAACAGTCTACATATTTTTTTCACAAAACTACTCAGTGTAAATTCTAGAGCTGTATTTACACCTCAGAGTGGCCCTGGAAGAGGAGGGGGAAAAAAAGGCTACTGTGCCGCATTTTTGAGTTAAGAGGAAGAGCATAGTCCTGAAAGACTGGGTTTTGGATGTTTTTACACTAAAATCTATTGTCCAAGCTACTTTACCGTTCCAGGCAAAATAAAGGTTGCCAGTCTTATTCTAGTACTGCTGTGTAGCTGACTGCTTTTGTAAAACAGTGCTGAAGGACACTCCGGGATGCAGTCTCTGATCCTGCTGCTTTGAACAGCTTATACTGCTGATCTTGAAGGACCTTCCTGTTATCGGAGCAAATATAGTGGTGATGAACAAAACCAGAGAGACATGGCTGAAAAGGGGCGGGGGGGGGAATCTGTTAAGATTAGTTAAAACTTTTTTCTGATAATAACATTTCAGTAGGTAAGTTACTTTAAGTAAAAAAAGCCTTTTTGAAAACATTCAGCAGCATCCACATTTACTTTAAGAACTCAGAGGCTTCCAAAGACCATAGACATCACTTCTGAATTTTTTTAAAATTCAGTTCTAAATACTTTTTCCTAAAACAAGTCATATATTACTTAAGTTCTGCCAAAAACAGGTGAAGAAAACATGTTGCAAAAATGTGACAAACCAGGAGGTTAGGGCTGCAAATGTAAACTGTGTGGTCAAAAAGACAAACACGTTGGATTGTCACTCAAGGTGGTGTTATTTTTATCAGCGTTTTCAGTGCTAAATGCTGCCCAATGATTGGTGGGAGGTCTTCACAATTGCTGTGAAACACACTGTTCATTTCCTTATTGCCCAAAGTTAAATTTACCTACAAAACTTCTGTAAATGTATTTTTTCACCCATGCTTCACCTTTTTTTTATGCTGGTGTTCACTCATTCAAATGTAGAATTTGAAACTGCGGAAACTCTTCTAAATTCAGAAGTACATATGCTTCTTGAGCATCGTAAGCAACAGAATGAGAGTGCAGAAGACGAGCAGGAGCTTTCAGAAGTCTTCATGAAAACCTTGAACTACACAGCACGCTTCAGCCGCTTCAAAAACCGTGAAACCATTGCCAGTGTCCGTAGGTGAGTAGGAAAGTTAGGGTGTAAGACAGTACTGGAGAATTTGGTATATAATATTGATGCTGCTTTATGAAAGTACAGTTTAGTAGTGTTTCCTGATTTGTACTATAATTCTGAATCTTGTCTTTCTGAAGAGGCAAGAAAGATGATCGTAATTCTGTGTGGAGGGTTGTACTTTGTGTAGGTCAAGCCTCCTGAACTGCTTTGTTTTCAGCATTTAAATGACAGCTGATTGCATTAAACGGGAGAATTTTCTAGACTTTGTAGAGTAATTAGGGGGAATTGGAGTTAACAGATGTGACTTTTTTTCCTCCCCTCTTGAAAAAACATTGACTTCCGTGCCACAAGCAGAGTGAAAAAAGATATCTATCTGGTTTAGTTTATGCCCTTTTATATCTCTATCTTACTTGTAATTTCACCAAGTTGTTGTCTTTCCTTACAGTTTGCTGCTCCAGAAAAAGCTCCATAAATTTGAATTGGCATGTTTGGCTAACTTGTGTCCTGAGACTGCTGAGGAAGCAAAAGCTTTGATTCCTAGGTGAGCATTTACATATCGTAAAAAGATTGCTTTATACTTTCCTGTAATCTAAAGCCAGCTATGGACAGATGCCCACTCTTCAATCCAGCTCTGTTGATGGAAAAACTTTTTGTCAATCTTTCTTCACCTATCCATTGACCTGAGAGTGAGGTAATCTTTGTAACTGTCCCTAATGCATGTCAACAACATTGACTGGGTTAAGTGTGAACAGCTTAAATTGGGGTTCTTAGGCCACCCAGCTGCATTTGGAGGTTTTTTGTTTTGGGGTTTTTGTTTTTTTTTTTTTCTGTTGGAGCAAATGACTTATACAGGACAGCAGTAAATTCTGTTATCATATCTTGATTTGTTACCTCATGGCCTGAGACAGAAGAGGGAACAAAACACCTGAATTACGGTTTCTTCCCTGTATGCTAAGATTTCATAGCAAGACTGGACTGGCTTATGAGCATGAGACTACATGGACTTCATATAGAGGTCTGTTTAAACCTGCACCTGCCTTGCCTTTTTGATAAAATGTTTTGATATTATTCATCAGAAAGGTCTGGGAAGGATGGAGTTTTGTCAGTTAAAGAGGAGGCACTGCATAGGATTAGAGTGGTATTTGTACAGTAATGTTATAGATGATTCCTGGTGGTACCATGCAGGTGGGTGATGATGGTGTTGAGACTGACAGGAGACAATTATGGCTGTCTGAAATTAATCCAGGGGGAGATTATTTCTGAAACCTTTAATGTACCCTCACTGTTCTTTTCTAACAGCCTGGAGGGCCGATTTGAAGATGAGGAATTACAGCAGATTCTTGACGATATTCAGACTAAACGCAGCTTCCAGTATTAAGGTTAACCCTCAACCCCTTTATCTGAACAGAAAAACCTGGGAGCTTTGACTGTTTCTCAGCCCTCTGGACCAATCCAGCTCCCAGCTGAGTAAGGGATGTTGTGGATACAGGGTACTCCGGTGCTGTGTCATCCGCAGGTGCATTCAGACAGGAGATCAGTGTAGTCCTTTTGGTTTGTTCCACCTGTATGTTGGTAAGGTCACCTGTATTGCGAGAGCCAAAGAACCTGAAAAGCCTTTTCCCAGTGGCCTGAGTATTTGCTTCTTCCAAATCCCTCTCCCTGATCTGGAAATCTTCAACGCATTTCTGTTTTTTAGCAGAAATGCAGATGTGACTTCTTTTTATTGTGAACTTCTAAAGGAGATGGAGAAACTTGTTCTTGACTCTCGGAAGGTTTAGTGATGGGCAGCACAGCATCAGTTTCTGTGATGTTTCTGGGTTTTGGGTTTTTTTTTTTAATTGTTTGATCAGGACAGTGGATTTTCACAGCTTCAATAATTTTCTGTTATTGTTTAGTGTAAATTAAAAGACGTTTCTAATTAAGGCTGTGTGTTTTATAAACATTAGGTGCTTATTATGATTTTATTAATGAGGACCTTTGTGATAAACAGATCCTGTGATTATTAACCTGTGTTGGAGATCTGGGGACTCCAAGTGTGTAATAATGCAAGTACAATTTAGGACAGGTCAGACAGGCGTTATTAACTATGATCATAGTGAGAGAACATTTGGGCAGCATTTCCCTCTCTGCTCCCCTGTTCTCTGCCAAGTGATTGCACAGACCCAATATACTGTTTCAGAAAAGAAAGAGGTGAGGAAAAAACATTCACTTTGATGTTAACAAAGCCAGGTATCTGCCCTGGGAGGGATGGACTCCTTAAGTAGCTTGCTAGCTGCCACAGTTCTAAGAAGAAATGAAACAGTGACACTATGGAAGGATGGCTCTTGGTGGAGCCTGTGGAAGTGGCACACCTAGTATTATCTTGGCTCAGAAGTGGGGAGTTGGCAACAATCACAGACTGTTAGCTTTTAGTTGAAAGGAATGTTCTTTTAGTTAGGATAAACTTCTTAGCTAGCCCTCTCAAATCTTAAATATTAATAATTCTACCACCACACCTGGAAGAAGAAAAATTGTACAGGAAAGAACGGCTGGGACAAAGAGAAAGACAGGTGTGTTAAGTCAGGGCACTACTTGTGATGATAAGCAATAGTTTCGCTGATGTTGCAGAAGGGAGAGAAATACGATATTACTTCAGCTCTTACTGGAAACTTAACATTGCTGCTGTGCTGAAAAGCCAGGCTGGTTTCTGACTGTTTGGGCTACCTCAGCTGAAGCACATTACCTCAAATAGCATTTAATTCTGTGCTTTAGTGGCATTACATCTCCTGCAAGCCAATAAACCAGACATGCCTTTCTTATTAACCACAGTAACTTTAACTGGATCAGAATAATTATAACTAAAGAACAAAGACAAAAAGCAAGGTGGCATGGTGAATCTTTGTTTTATAAAGCTCAGTGGCTCCTTTTGATAGGGGATATGCTTTCCAGTGGCTGCTCCCACTGTAACTTGGTTTGCCTTGTAAAATGTTTCTGTTCAAGCAGCTTTAAGACATTTTCATTTTTTAAATACACAGGCTCTCATATCTTAATGACAACTAATTTTTATTCAGAAAAAAAGCACCATTCAGCACCTCTTTACCTACAGTTCTGGGTAAAAGGACTTAATGATTAGAATTGGGAGGCATTACTACTTGTTGATACCTTTGTAAATCTAACAGAGTCCCAAGGAGGAGCATTAACAGACTTAGCAATCTGAAAGCGATCTCGGGAGATTTGCACTATCCTCCACAGACAGATAATTATGAGCCTTGAGATTAGCTGTTCCTGATTGTTGTATTTTGAAACCTGGTCATCAGGAGGGGCAAGAAGCAGCTGTCCAAGGGGGTTGTGCGAGGTGCGATTCTGTTGTAGCGCCGGGCTGTTTGGTGAATGTGTAGGCTATTACCATGAAGCAGTACAAAATGCAGCCATGCGGTTAGGTGAGACGTGCGAGGCGGTGCGTTTTAGAAGCGGTAATTTGTCCGGCTGCCAGCACTTCCCGTTTTGAGGAGGCTGAAGCCAGCAGACACGGCGGCAGGTGCCGCCTCGCCACAGCATCGTCAAAGCGGGGCCGGGAGCGCAGCTTCCCCGCCACGGTGGGTTCATGGGTTGAATTTTGGTCATCCTTCCCACCCCACCCCCCAACAAAACGCAAGAGGGACACCGGGCGCGACCCTCCACAGCGAAGCACCGCTGGCGCCGCGGCCCGTCCCCGCAGGCCCACTCCGCGGCCACCTCTCAGTGCGCGCGCGCGCACCTCTTCCCGCCTCCACCTGCGAGGGGAAGGGTCGGGGAGGGCACCAGGCTTCCGGTAGCGCAGGCGCAGGTCGTGGCACGGCGGGAGGCTCACGGAAGCAGCGCGCGCCCTGCTTCGCGCGCCTGCGCACTGGCCGCAGTCTTCCAGCCCCCAGTGCCCCTGGGGCGCTGGGACCGCCTCGCGCGCTGACGTCGGGCGCGTGCGCCGCCTGGTCGCTGGTGGGGGAAGGAAGATGGCGGCAGGCCGCGGTGGGGGCTCGTGAGGCGGCGGCTTCCGGGGCCGGAGGGACGAGGCGAGTGGCGAGGCGACAGGAGCGCGGAGTTGGGGTACGAGAGACCGGCTGGACGGTGAGTGCGGCTCGGTGCTGGGCCGCTGGTGGGGCGGGGGTGAGCAGCTTGGGAAGTGCGGCTGCCTCCGCCATTTTTAGGCCGCGGCCCAGAAGCGGTGCGGCCAGGACCGGGAAGAGGCCGAGCCCCGGCGCGGCTTCCCAGCGGCGGGGAGTGGGTGTAGCAGCGAGAGTCCCCTGGGACGCTCTCGGGAGCATGGGGCCCGGGCCTTGTCCGCGGGTTGAGCTGAGCTCAGGGCCGAGCTCCGCGGCGCCGGGCCCACGGGGTGGGGTGTGCTGGAGGGCTGAGGTGGCGGCGAAAGCTGGGGCTGGGAGCAGGCATGTGGTCTCCTTTGCTGCATAGGTGTCTGGGGTGGCCTCGCCCGACTCTCTCAATCCTGCCTTTTTTTACTTTTTTTTTTTTTACTATTATTGTTCTTTCCTCTGGCTTGGATTTGAGCGGAGATCGGGTTCTGACTGCCTGAAGATGCGGCTTGGGAAGCCCTAGCCGTTATGGTTAGATACAGCCATGTGCAGCAGGCACTTGCTTATTCTGGAAGAGTGGATGGATTTAATGACAATATGGTGGCACATTCCACTGATTGAGACTCACCAGTCTATGATTATGACATGGATAGCAAACCTAGGTTACCTGTTACATTCGAAAAAATATTTCAGCATTTTTCCATTGGAGAGAACTAATTAAACTTTGTGCCTTTTTGAAGTTGGATGTTATTTTTCTCTTGCTGACTCTTAGCTTCTTTGTTATAAGTAGACAGGTGTATGGTTTCAAATACAGTATTTTGAAATATTGGTACTTATTTGAGCACATCTGTTTGTCTTACAAAAGTTGTCATAGGTAAGTAGTTCTGTACTCCACCAGTTTTCTACCTCATTATATCCTGAATTGCAATTTGTGAGTTGTATTTGGGAATCTGTTTTCCTATGTAGACATCAGCCCCTCATCCTTCTCCTTGCAACAGATGTTTGTTTATTCTTTTATGTGTTTCCTAACTGAAACTCTTCTTTTCTTCCTTTAAGAAAGGCAGCACTATGTACATATTTGTCAGAGAGTTTATAGCATGCAAACAATATTGTGTTATGCTTTGGGGTTCTCTCCTCCTGAATTCTTTATCAGCTAAATTGACTTTTAATTCTCAACAGTCTGCTGCAATATTGTGCCATCATCTTTAATATAAGAATATATAATCATAAAGCATGTTTCAAAATCTGTTTCTTAACGTGTTGTTTACTTGTGCTGTAGTATTTCTAATGGGAAGATCTGAAAATGTAGTTAGAAGACTTGTCATTTAAACACTCCGCATGATAAGAAAAATCTGGCATCTCTTTAATTGCTTTGCTGTTAGCATTTTTTGAGTTCTTTGCTCAACTGCTCTGCAGTTTAGAAGGTAAGTTTTACACAACTTTCCTGCATTTGACTGTTTCAGAAGTGGATGGAACTACCAGATTATATTAAGAGCATCAGTGTTGAGAAATAAATATTGAAGGATGGGGAAACCCCACATCTTTTTGAGCTGCAGAGAATGTTAGATGCTAGTAACTAGTGTACATTTAATACTCTGCTTCTAGAGCTGCTAAAACCTTTTAACTTAAATGTCAGTCACTATAAACATTTAAATTCTTTCCTTGCTACCAGAAGTGTTGGTCCTCCATTGAATCCTTGCAGCAGTAAACATTAGACTGTTTGGACAACTGAAATTGAAAATTTCTCATCAGTTTTGTATTCCTGTTATCAGCAGAGGTTAGCGCAGGACGTAATAACATAGTGATATTAAACTGCGCTTGAGATAGAGGTACTAGGAATGCCTTCTCTTGCTGCAGCAAAGAGAGGCCTTGATCTGAGGAGGGGATGAGAAATCTTCTGTTCTGTTCCCATCCCTAGCAGATATCTTAGTCTTCTGACTCACCTGAAAAAAAAATATTGTGGAGAAGACTTTTGTTTGAGTGGGAGTATGGAAGGAACACAGTTCAATTTTTTACTGAGATGATTCCATGCAAATATTTCACTTTTTGCATCTGCTAGCCACAGGGTTGATATCTAGGGAATTTCCAGTTTGTTCACTAACACTGGAAATGAAAATAATTTTAGCCTTGCCCAGATGTTACTCTAGCTTATAATTTAGAAAACTAGTCATATCTCTGTGCAGGATGTTGTAAAAACAAGCTGAAAATTTTAGTGTGTTTCTGAATTTTACAAAATTTGCTCTTTATTTGCCATATTTTCATTCCTGATATTGCATCATTTTGTTATTGAAAGTTTTATACAAAGTAAAAATACAAATATGAAGGTTTGGTGGGTATAGTTAATGAAGAAATGTCATCGATAAGTAAATCTCAAACTGAATATTGTTAGAGCTTAATGGTGGGGAGGGGATACGGTAAAGATCTTTCAAAAGATAAAAACCTTAAAATAACCTTAGTTTTCTTGTCTTAGAGAATCTCTGAAACAAGAGCAGAGAAGTAGGCTTTTTGATAGCTAAATAGTTCTTTGTTGTTTGTATTTTGTTGTTATTAATTTCGCTTCAATTTAGAGCATCCGTGATCCCGTATTTTTAAAATGGTGCTAAACTTACCAGCAATCTATTCTTGCTCACTAGTATTTAAAAAAAACTACTCAGCATTTGATAGAATGTCATTTCTAGTTCAACCAGCTCTCCACATTCAGGCTGGGTGTACCAGTCATTCTGTTGTGAAACTTGAAATGTGATATGAAGTATATATTTACCAGGAAAGAAAGTAAGCTAGTTTCTCCTCTGTTGTGCAA